ACCCCCCCCCCCCCCCTTGCTTCTCCCCTCTGTCCCAAGCTCTCAGATTTATAAAACACCATTTAATAACAAAAAATCTAAGAACTTTTAAAAGCTTATCAGAGAGGTTTCGCTCCCTAATACATCATATCTTAAACACAGATTCCCTAATGGCTTGTTCATTGGACTGCATTCAAGCTGAAAGGACTGCTAGGCATCCGAGATGGACTTTGCTGTGGTGTGGAAATCTGCTCAGGGAGTTTAAGCCTGGTTTCCTAGGGAAATGAGTCTGCGCGTGTCTGTCCATCTGCCCCCAGCAATATTTGAGATTATTCGTCTGTTTAGACTACATATGATCCAGAGGTGTGGGGAACAGGAGTGAAGTAGCACTCCAGCTGTGAGCTGAGAGGGGGGATGTCTGTAAAGTTGGGCTGGTGGTTCGGCGGAGCCTGCCTTGTCTTCCCGACTGCAATGCCATACCTCCTACACCTACACAGCACAAAGCGCCGCCCTTCTCCTCCTCCATGTCCCCCAGTCTCATCCAAGGGATCCTTGGGACACACTCCTCTGTTCCTTCCCCACATCAGGTCCTTCCTTTGCTGCATCAGACGGTCTGACAAGGAGAAACTGCAGAGGTTTGGATAATTCAGCTCATCTCTTGAACTTTACAGGACAGCCTGCCTAATGCCCAGCCTCGATCTTGCTAATTTTGCCATGTTCTAAACCTTTCCTCAGCCTTCTGCACAGCCTAGCAGGCTGTTTCACTACTGTGTTATTTCTGATTTACATCTAATTCCAGAGGAATCAATAGGCTTTGACAGGGGAGTTGCACAGCAGAGGATGAGAACATCCAAATAGCACAGAGGGTGGAGCCAAGGGAGCTTTGGGGTGAGAAAGTATAGACCAAGGTTAGAGAGGGTGCAGAGACCAGTGCTGCACAGTCTGTTCCCCACAGCCTGATTTCTGGGAAAGCCACTTCATCTGGAAAAGGCAGCTAAAGCCCGAGGAAAGTGCATTTATGCATGTAAATAAATAAAATTATATTTAAGCTTCTTCCCAGGCGTGCTGTGAGTGTGAATGTTTGCAAAGCTGTGAGATCCTTAGTTGAAAGGTGCTGTGAAAGTGCAAAGCATTATTAATATCCTTTACCTTACTCATAATAGAGTATGCATTCATTCTGGGGAATTTCTGGACATAAACCAGACAGCTGCAGAATGACATTTCTTGAAAGCATCTATGATTTATTTTCTGCTCTTTAATTCCATTTTGTATTGAACACACATTTGTCATAGGACTGTTGTTCCACTGGGTCTTTTAAGTCTAAAACAGACTTGGGGACCTGATCCTTAGCTGGTATAAATTTGCCCCTATCTTCACCGTAGCTATTTGCTGATTTACACCAGAAGAGGACCTCAGCCCAAGCCTTTTAATTGAATTTCCACAGCACGGCAAGTTTCGGTGTAAAATCCAAGTGGCTTTAATGACAGATAAGACTCTCCCTCTAACTAACCGTCTGGCTGGAGTTCTGTAGGATCTCTTCGAGCCACTGGGCGTCAGGTCCTGGGAATGATATTGTTTTTGCAGAAACTCGAGTCTCTGGATAGGTTCCCTGGCGGTGCCTTTCCATTTTGTTTTAAACACGTTCAGCTTTAGAGTCTGGGCCTGGAAGCTGGGAGGGCTGGTGTGGTTCTTTCACGTTGCACGGATTCTTTTGAAAACAAAACAAAAATAGCTTAGCGGATTTGGACCTCTTTTTTTGGTCTTGAGAGGGAGAGAAAGAGTTGGAAACTTGCAGTAGCTGAGTGAACACGTTGTTTCAATAGCAGCGCCTGTATTGCTGACTGTCATATTCAACCCTCCTTACCGCTGCAAAGCCACGCTCAGAGCTAAGTCTCATCCTAACTCCTCAAGTGCGGCTGCCCCTCTATTTGCCCACACTTTACTCCATCATCCACTCTTTACTCCATAATCCATACTATACAGGGAAAACTGAGGCAAAGGGACTCCTCTGAGGTGTGCTAAAACTACGTTAAACCTGGGCTGAGGCACACGCACACACCATCCTTCCAAGCTGATGTTTTATGTCCTAAAATGTAGGCTACAAGGTAACCCATTCAGAGGGGTTTTGAAGGATAATTTTGACCAGGCTTAGCCAAACTCATCTGGAGAACCAAGCCTTGACCCCGCAAAGCCCAAGCAGCCACGGCAATACATGCCTGGCCAGCACATCTGACTGTAATAGTGTCACTTACCGGTTAAAAAAGCCCTCGGGAGACGCACTTTACATCCTTTCTGTGACACTGTGAGCCAAGCAGGCTCCTCCTCTGTGACAAAGTTTCTCCATCTGGAGGAGGAGGAGGATCATCTATCCAGATGACGGCCTATTTGTTTACTCAAAGCATGCTGATGCATCTGAATCAACCAACCCATTTGTAGCAGTTGATTCGCTTCGGTCAAATATCTGACCCAAAAGAATCAGAGAAAATTGAAATTTTTCAATGCGTTCTGCTACTTTCGGAAAGGAAATTTGCACTGATTTGAAAATAATTTTTCTGTTGGAAAATGAATTGCTACCTTTCTTTTTTAACAAGATCACCACGGAAGTGACTTTTCCCTTAAAATTACACAACGGCAAAACTGCTTCTGATTGAGCTAACCAAAATGTACGTTAGCATCTCAAACGGTGGAAATTTCTGAGGTTTTGCCTTTCTCTCTCAATGCAGAACTCTTCTTCTTCTTTTCCCCCAATATTTCCCAAAACATTGCTCTAATAGCTCTAGTTGTAATCCTCCTGAAGGATATCCCAGGGGAGAAATGAGAGTCTGAGACTGGCTGCAAAGGGGACATGGGAAAAGCCGGTGGTTACTTCAGGCCCCATCTCTGCTCTCCTGATTTCTGTCACTGACAGAGCAGCAGCCCGAGCTCCGGGTGCGCTTAGGATTTCCACAATGGATTTCCAGCGAGGAAAACGCCACCCTTGCAAACAGCATCTTGCTCATGACAGCGACAACTGCTGAGGACTGAGCTTGGGGATAAAGTTCCCAGGCTGGAAGGCACTTTCCAGCCCTGCTGCTCCCTGCCCGGCCATGGGAGCGGGGACAGGGCTCCCTCCTGGGGACAGCGTGGCTGGGGCTGCCACCTCCCCCTTTCAGAGATGGCCCGTCGCACTCTTTGTACCAGGCTGAAACCGTAGCGGTTTGTTTTTCAGTCTGATCTATTTGCAGTGGGGTTTGTGGTTTCTAGTAAAAAGGGAAAAAACAAATAAGTAAAATAAAAATAAAACCAGGCAGATTACATGAGCTCTGTTTTCCCCCATTCCCTTCTCTTCCCTCCTCCTCTTTCTCTCCCTCTCTTCCCCTCCCCTTCCCTCTCCCGTCCCTTCTCTGTTTTCCTTTCCATGCCAATAACTAGAAGGCTGTAATTTCAAAGCGGCAGCAGCTTTCCCAGCTCTGGGAGGAATGCGCAAGTGCCTGGGATGTTTCCGCAGGGAGCTGCGCAGCCCCGCTGTGCTGTGCAGCCCAAGGGGGCACGAGGCAGTGCTCGCTCCTTTCCAGCGGCCTGCTCAGAGGGGCATTTCGAATTTTACCTGAGAGGATGCCTTTTCCCCTTTTTCCCCTCCTTGAAATAGCTTCGTGATCGTGTGTGTCAAGTCTTCGGCCTCCCTGGGCTTTGAAGTCGCCGTTTCTTTTCTGTGAAATAACAAAAGGGTTCACTCATCCTCCTTTTCTGCCCGTGGTCTTCTGCCGTCTTGGGAGAAGAGAAAGGGGGTCTCCTTTGGACGGGATGAGTTGCTCACTAAACTCCAGTGAGCGCAACAACTCCACTCCACGATCAGAATGCTCGAGCGTTGCCCCAAAAGCTAGTCCCAGCCGCTGCGTTTACACCTTGTTGCCTTTGTGAGAGGGTCGAGGTAGCACAGGAGGTAGGGGAGAGGAAAAAGAATAGATTTGCGTAATACCAAGGCAGATGGGAACAAGATACGAAGTTAGATTCCTTCAAGTTTTTTCTGGGAAGAGTTGATTTCAACTGCTCTGTGCCTGCTGCCTTCAACCCCTCTGTGCCCGTTGTCTTTTGCCATGAGATCCCTCCTATGATGCAGTCAGGAGAACAGGATGGGGCAGTAATATGAATTCTGGCCTCACCAAAAGTAAGTTGTCCCAATGGGAAGCACAGATTCTGCAATGCAAGATCAAAATGAGACCGTGGGAGAAGACGGGCATGGCCGGCTTGTGTTGGGAGCATCAGAAGGGCAGAAGATTTGGGGACAGTCAGTAAGAAAAGAGCTAGAATTATGTTATGAAAAGAAATAGAAGTGTTTATTATTGTATTGCGTATTGAAGATGACAGCACGAACCTCCGATACTTTCAGGGTTTGATTAAGGGGCAGGAGCAGATCCTCTGTACAAGGTGTTAACCACCCGCCTGTAGTCCTGTGTCATTTTTTTAGGGACAGGTATAGACAGCCGAGGCAGATTCTGTGAGTTTCTTACTACTTTTCACAAAGTGAGATTCTACACAAAGTCTAGCGTGCAGACAGGACCCCTACTGCATGAGCCCATCTCACACGACTGTTCTTGTTCCTTACTGGTTTTACAGCGTCCTTGAATCCACAGTACACGCTGGGTGACATCCCGTTAGAAGTATCGGTTCCCTGTCCCCAAGGACTGTGCTCTAGGTGACATAACCAGCTGATACCGAGCCACACTCTCCTCTGCTTCCACTGCCGGGGCATATCCCCGTGCAGCAGTGCGAGATGGGCACATCTGACTCCCAACTAGATACTACTGGGTGCAAATATACGTGGCAGAACCTGGCTGTCAGCTCACCCTTCCTCTGCTTTGCAGCTTTCCGAGCTACGCTCACTCCAAATGTAAAGACTGTTCTTTGAGTTACAGGTTTCTGTTATGAGAAATGATACGAAGAGGAGGAACAGATGTTGATGTTGAAGTGATTTATAGAAAGGGCTGTGATATTTTCAACAAAAGCTTTTGCACAAAAAGGTTGCTTTCAAAAAGAACTTGCGTTTCCAAAAAGTACTGAAAAAAGTTCCAACATGGAAGCAGGTCAGAATTTATACATTTAAAAAAAATCCAGTTTTCTGTTCAAAACATGGACGTAAACTAGAATGGAAGTTAAGGTACAATAAAAGATAGAAAATTAATGAAGTATCTACATAATATTTTTTCTTGCCTCATCTGCGTATTTTCATTTTACGGTGACGTTTTTAATTTCTAGTGAAATCTCTTTGTTTTGTAGTGCAGTTTCAAAAATACCAGCTCTTAGCATTAGAAGACTTTTTCCATCCCAGTCGCTGTTATTCCGGTTCCCCGTGTCTCGTACCTGCCTTGCTCTCTGTTCATTCCTCCTCTTCTGTTCTAGCACGTATAAGGTCTTTCTCTGTCATTACAGGCCCTCCTGTTGCAGGGACGCAAAATGTGAATAAGACAACAGAACAGCAACGGCCCCAGCCAGGTAACTGCCGATTTTGTCCCCGCTGCATTTGCTAAGTGATTAGATTTGTGCTAGATCGGATGAGGAAACGTGTCGAGCAGCACCAGCCGTGGGCACAGGACAAACAGGCAGAACCTCACAGGGAAGTCTCGGAGTAATGAGTCAACTGTGACCGAGCAGTGACAGCAGTTGTTCCAAACTGTTTCTATTTTACTGCGTTGTCCTTCCCCATTCGAAAGAAACGTCCTGGTTTCAGCCGAGTCACGTGCAGCGCCGAGCACGGGCTGCATCTCCTTTGAAGCCTCAGGACACGTCGTGTAATCGGCCGTGAAGGGGCTCGGAGCTGTTTATGGTGGAGTGTCTGCTCGTTGCCTCTTCACCTCTGCTGCAGCCATGTTCGGTGGATCCAAACAGAATCCGCAGGGTTTCCCCTGCGTCAAAGAAAACCAAATAAGAAAAGCAAACCCTGTTGGGCAGCAAGCAGTAGTGCTTCCTGCTCGTTTCCCAAGGGGCCTTTGGAAAGCTAAATACCACCTTCTCTGCTTTGCACAGCTGCTTTCTATCCCCTTTTTTTTTTTTAGGGAGTTGGTTCTTTTGGCATCGATTCAATCCACGAGCAAATGCGATCGATCCAAATCACCAAAACCAGAGAGAAGCAAAGGAGAAGGGTAGAGATTAGGGCTGAGGAGGCCCCGTAAAAAGGGAAGGAATTAATTCCTAACAAAGGCATGGTGGGGTTTTCAAGAAACACTCAGCCTCTTTGGAGCCAGTGACAAAACCCCTGTTACTCTCATTTGTCTAATGCTCGGTTTGCTTCAGTAAGGGAGAGTTGGGTGAACACGCCGTTGACCTCAGAGGGAAGCAAGCTCAACTGCTAACAAGTGACTTGGAAAATCTCATCTGCTCTCCAGCTCTTTTTATTAGGAGAAATATATTTGCTCCTGATTTGTTACTGTTCCCCTATCTCACACTTCTCTTTTTCACATTTCATGTTTTCTAGTTGACACCTAAGAATAGGGTATGTCCAAAGAGATTACAGAGTTTGAAAGCAGGCAAGTTCTGAAACCAGTGCCAGAAACACTGTGCCATTTTGGATTCCATAAATAACTGGCGGTTGTTTGCTAAAAAAGAAATAAGGAACACACCAGGTCTGCTCCAGGCCCTGGGAGAAGAGGCACTAAGAGAAAAGAAAGAAAACGAAAATTTGAACTGGTTTCTAGAACAAACAATAATGAACTGTGGGGTTTCTTTTTGATGAAACATTTTTTAAAAATAGCTTTTGTTGGGTGTTTTTTCTTTTAGATCCCTATCAAATCCTGGGGCCTACCAGTAGCCGTCTTGCCAATCCAGGTGAGTTCATCTTCAAATTTCAGACCACAATTATCAAAGATTCCTTCGGATCTACTGCTCCAGTCCGTACTGGCTGAAGAGCTGCTCTGCCATTGGGGTAGACTGTGAGAGCCACTGACCTTAGCAGCTGTGCTCTCACAAGTGCCTTTGCAAACATCCTTACAGAAAAGTGAGGAAAGTGGTGCCACACCCTCTTTGTCAGGACAAAATCACCATCCTGAATGTTCTTACCCAAAACCAAGCATTCCTGAAGAAAAGTTTTACAGGGGACTTCAAAGCTGGTCTCTCAGATTTGCAGTACAGGTTAGTTTTTCACTGGCTGCTATGGATTAGCCGAATGGAAGGCACAAAACATCTCTGAAAGTCCCTGCATAGTAACTGTCCCTAGCATGTCATCTGCAGGAAACAAGCCCTGACTTTGGGGAATAAGACCTGGGGTGAATCTTGCCTGAACTAACCCAACCTGTAGATGTTGAATGCTTGTCAGGAAACATTTGCATAAGGCTCTTTACTATTAGTATAACCACGCCGAATAAAATAGGAGCCATCTTGTCCGGGGAAGAAATAATCTCACGGAACTGGGATCACCAAGTGGAAAGAACACTGCAGGTACCCCAAACAATATCCACGGTAAACAGTAAGCAATTGAGAGTTGAAATAATCTGCGTTAACTATTCAGTGAAAAATTTTGCAGAACGCTATGCTGGGGAAAAAGCCTGTTTATGAATAGCCCGAAGAATTTAAGGCCAAAGGCGACCATTATGAAATCTAATCTGACCTCAAGCTCACGAACAGAACAAAGGGTTGACTAACTTGTTTGCTGGGAACAGTTTATCCATTGCTACGTAAGATTTTCTAAGCCTTGAAGGAGCAGTTCCCAGTAAAGATCGAGATAGTCCTTCTGTTTCCTGCCTTTGTCTTTGCTTTTAAGCAGGAAACACAATGTCATTTCCTTTCCTCTTTGGCTTGCTTCTCGCAGGGAGCGGGCAGATCCAACTGTGGCAGTTCCTCCTCGAGTTGCTGTCGGACAGTTCCAACGCCAGCTGCATCACGTGGGAAGGGACCAATGGGGAATTCAAGATGACGGACCCTGACGAAGTGGCGCGGCGCTGGGGAGAACGCAAAAGCAAGCCCAACATGAATTACGACAAGCTGAGCCGAGCCCTCCGATACTACTACGACAAGAACATTATGACCAAGGTGCATGGCAAAAGGTATGCCTACAAATTTGACTTCCATGGCATTGCCCAGGCTCTTCAGCCTCATCCCACCGAATCGTCAATGTACAAGTACCCGTCGGATCTCTCCTACATGCCGTCTTACCATGCCCATCAGCAGAAGGTGAACTTTGTACCCCCGCACCCTTCCTCCATGCCTGTCACATCATCCAGTTTCTTTGGAGCAGCCTCACCTTATTGGACCTCCCCTGCAGGAAGCATTTATCCAACCCCCAATGTCCCTCGCCACCCCAACGCCCATGTATCACCACACTTGGGCAGCTATTACTAGATGCTTTTATCTTCAAGTGGCCTTTATCAGTCTGGTTGGACTTTTTCTTTACTTCTGGGATTTTTATGGTTTTTTTGAGGGACCCTTAATGGATAATTGTGGCCTTTCTGGGGAAGAATTAAAACTGGATATTGGTTATTCCTGGATCAAACCTTTTACTTTTGTAACTTTGCCTCTTGTGTCTTGAACTGAGGGATGGATGCTTCTTTGGGCCAGTACTCTGCATTTTCTTTGGTTTTTAACGCTTATGTCCTCTGTAGGAATTGACTATGAAGATTGTCCACCATTGCCTGGAATGATTATTAGCTTTTTTGATGAGAGAAATTTTTAAGGATTCAAAGGCTTTTGACAAGACATAGATCCAACTGTGGGTCGTAGGAAAAGATGACCACATGGGGGTTGTTCTCGCTGTGGAGAGGGTAAGGCAATTTGACCATTAAGTGGAGGACGTTGGGCTGCAGGGGACCGCAACTGGAATCTTAGCTTTAAGGCAGATGAGGATTTTCACCCAACTGGAAATTAAATATATAT